TGCGAGGTCGCACCGCGGGTTCTTGCCTTCGGCGTCGTGAGGGCAGAGCATGAACTGCGCACAAGCGACGAGGACAGACTCGGGGCACTGGCCACTAGGAAGGCAGCCCTCGCACGAGATCCACTTTGCATCGGGCGCGACGCCGACACCGTTACCGCCGACCGAGGTCCCGACCGTGTGCGTACCGTGGCCGTTGTTGTCGACAGGCGTTGGCGATCGCCCCTCGGGTTGGAACCAGCCGTTGAGGCTGCGGAAGTTGCCCTTCAGCGCTTCGTGGGTGACACGAGCGCCCGTGTCAATGGACCCGACGACGACGCCCTGTCCACGGTAGCCCTTGGCCCACACCTCAGGCGCCTGAATAATGTTGAGGCCCCATTCCGTGGTGTTGGCAGCAACGACTTCGGACGTCGAGATCTCGGAGGTGATGAGGCGGCCCATGGCTTCGGGGCGGACGAAGGCAACCTCAGGCAGGTTCGCGAGAGCATTGATAAGGTCCTTTTCGGCGCTCTTGATAAAAAGCGCGTTGCTGATCCAGAGCTGGGTAGGCTCGGCTGTCGACTCAAGCTTGGAGCTCTGGATGAGCTTGAGGGCGGATGCTTGCGCCGAGGCGGCGTGGTCGACGAGGGTCGACCGGACGAGCTCGGCGCGTTCTGCACGCGACGCCAACGACGACGCTTCGAGCTTTGGTGCGGCAAGCGCCTCTTCGGCAGTGCCCTTGAACTCGACGATGATGTTTTGAGCAACCGTGGAGGACTCGAGCTTCTGAAGAAGCTTGGGGTGGATCTTGGAAACGTCAGCGGCAACGGCACCAGCGATGACACCAGCGATGAGTGCGCGAGCGACAAAGACCATGATGCTTTCTTTGTGGCGAATTGAATAATATGAGTTGATGCCCGCGAGCAAGGCTTATACATTCTCAGATACGAGCCAAATCAGATCCGATTTGCGTTCTCAGGTATTGCGCATCAGAAAATTGACAGGTGGCGGTACCCAGAGCCCTCGAATCCATGAGTCCCACATCGAGTTCGACAATATGTCAACATTGTCGAATTTCTACGCACGAGACCTTGCTCTGGATGGCATACATTATGAGTACCGTATGAACAATAGCTTTCTATAGCTTTCTTGCGTTTTCTTCCAACCTAAGACGCTTGAACAAAGCATGGGTCATTAGACTGCAGTGTATCTTGTCGATAGGCTTTCTACACGTGTCTTCACGTGGACGTCTGTGTCGAAGCCATCATCTGACAACTGCAAAGCTGGTGCGGTTCGTACAGTAGCTCGTTGTGATGGAAAATTCCAGAGCATTACGGTAGCAACAAAAACGAACCTAAAATGCACCCTTGCTAAAATCACAGCAACGATGCAACAAGGCTGTGAATCCGCAGAGTTCGGGTGTTGCATTAACCGTGCGTATCGCGATGCACTTCGAGTTTTGGCACAACCACGGAAGCGTTCGAAGCTACTCGGTAGGACGGCGAGCCTAATCTGATTTGTTGGGATTAGATCGAGTAAACCCATGTAACGTTTGAGAGTGGCAGTACGTCGTCTGGTACGTCGTGCGGCCAACAGCAACCGTGAGGAAACGATGCGCCAGTTTACCGGTATTGTGCCTGCCATGCCCAAAGATGATAACGCCTATTATAGTTTAGTATATCCAATACGGGTAATACGTTCACGAACAGACCAGGGGTACATTATACCCTGGCTCGAGCCGTACAATTGAGGAAACGTCGGTGCACACTCGTCAAACGAAATCATTTTACTTAAGCATCATTCAAAAGCGATTCACACGTTTGCTCATGATATCAGTCTATTGACGGTAAACCAACTACCACATGTTATTATCGATTTATAGCAAATCAGCAGCTAGCCTTGATCTTCTCGATGGCACGCAAGATGTTCATGCGGCCGTAGCCAAAGTTGTTGTTCGGGTACTTGTCGCCCGGGAGCCCACCGCACGTGAGCGGGTCGTTGATGAGAGACTTGGTCTCGACCGTCTGCGTCAAGAGCGAGTAGACTTCGTCGTACGTGATGCCGGGCTTGGCCGACACAAGGAGCGCGATGGCACCCGTCACGTGAGGCGTCGCCATGCTCGTACCACTCAAGCTCGAGTACGACGTATCGCTCGTCTTGTAGCTCGAGCGAATGCCTTGGCCGGGCGCCGAGATGTCGGGCTTCATGCGGCCAAACTTGTTCGGGCCCTTGCTGCTGAACGTCGCAAGACCGTCCTTGTTGGTCGTGGCACCGACGCCAATGACGTTGTCGTAGTCGCCGGGGCTGAGCACCGTGCCGCACTTGGGGCCGCTGTTGGCGTTAGCGAAGACTGGGATGATGCCAGCCTTGCGCCACGCAGCCATCGGGCCCTTGTAGTACGGCACGTCCGGGATCTCGTCATCGTCGCCCCAACTGTTGTTGACGACGTGGGGTGCGAGGTCGCACCGCGGGTTCTTGCCTTCGGCGTCGTGAGGGCAGAGCATGAACTGCGCACAAGCGACGAGGACAGACTCGGGGCACTTATTAGTAGGCAAGCATCCCTGGCACGAGATCCACTTGGCGTCTGGTGCCACACCAATGCCGTTAGCTCCGACAGACGTGCCGACCGTGTGTGTGCCATGACCATGAGGATCCACAGGCGTTGGCGATCGCCCCTCGGGTTGGAACCAGCCGTTGAGGCTGCGGAAGTTGCCCTTCAGCGCTTCGTGGGTGACGCGGGTGCCAGAGTCAATGGACCCGACGACGACGCCCTGTCCACGGTAGCCCTTGGCCCACACCTCAGGCGCCTGGATAATGTTGAGGCCCCATTCCGTGGTGTTGGCAGCAACGACTTCGGACGTTGAGATCTCGGAGGTGATGAGGCGGCCCATGGCTTCGGGGGCGGACGAAGGCAACCTCGGGCAGCTTCGCGAGCGCTTGAATGACGTCGCGCGTGACGCCCTTGGCATACACAACGTTGTTGATCCAGAACGACGAGTGCTCCAAGGGTTTCGACGACTCTAATTTAGAGCTCTCGAGGAGCTCTAGCGCACTGGCTTGAACCGACGTTGCGTGGTCTTCAAGCGCCGACTTGACAGCCTCTACGAGCTCTGCACGCGACTCGATGGACGCCGACTCCAACTTGGGACTGACGAGCACCTCGTCGGCCGTACCCTTGAACTCGATCGCGATCGTAATGCCGTCGATGGTCTCGGTTTCGAGCTTCAGGAGAAGCTTGGGGTGAATCTTGGTGTTATCAGCGACGACGACACCGACGATGGCCGCAAGAGCGAGAGTGCGGGATAGATGGACCATAGGGCTTTTGGTGAATAGCGCCAAAGAAAAAATGATGAGGGTCTCACCGCAAGAGGCTGAGGCGCTTCAGCTAAAACATGAACAAATACAGTGTACACAGCGACTCGCGCCTACCAGAATGTTCTCAGATCCACGCGGTGCGCGCTTTTCAAATACCACTGTGAAAGGGGTACGGCAGACGACCTGCAGAGCACTGCACTAAAGCACTAGAATTACCATTGTTTAAAGGTTGGACAGCGATTGGCAAACCGCTATATATACGATTAACGTATATCGCACGCACTGCTGGCATGCACTTGGGCGTGTCATTTTGGAGAAAGTCGCGCGCTTATGTGATGAGGACGCGACGGACATATGGTTTGGTTCCAGATGACAGATTGAGCCGTGCAACTCAGATTACCTTGCAGTCCAAGGTAATCTGAGTTGCCCGAGCGGCACGGTACATGAGGTCGGTCACTCGGTACGATGGGCTATTGCCATTTCACGAGTACAGTACTAACCGTCAGCATTGACAAACTACGTACGTTTTTCCTATAAAACCCCTTTCCAAATAAACATGCCCAGAGAGTGAATATATCTCTTAAAAAGTACCTCGCTCCCCTGGCGTGGCGAGTACCCTTTAGGATGTGGGGAGATAACACTTTGTGCCTTTTAAAATCGAAGAGGAGAAGGGAAAAGGAAGAGGGAAGTTCGACGCTCAAAAGGCGCGATCAATGTCCCTTCGTTGTGGCGGGCGTCCCACTGGCAGTGGCGCGATCGCCATGGAGTGCTCCATTTCATCGCGGATACAAATATCAAGTGTGCCTTTAAAAAATTTCTTAAAGGTACACTTGCAATTTGTATGCCCTCCCACCTTGGGCAGCAGCTTCAGGCGATCAGCCAATGCCTGGTCTCGAAAAATCGACGAGCCAATGCCTAGTCTCCTTTGATGCGGATCAATCGATGACGCGCAAATCGATGACGCGCAAATCGATGACGCGCAAGCAACAAGCATGGTGCTGCCTTCGTCAAAGACATCACTAGCAGTAATTAATATCGATCTATATTCGCCATTGCATGGCTGCTACGTCCAGAAATGTATGGGATGTGACAGCAATTGTACAAATGTGGCGTGGCGCCACGCAGAGTTGCCATGTCTTGGGATCGCGCGCTGCAAGTGTCGCTCCAAGCTGTCGTCGAGAGTCGTAGTCGTGTAGTGGTCATCGAGACGTGGTAGCTCATTGAGCTCCGAGCTCGGCGCTGGAAATTTCGTCTGGTAGGATGCCACTCGTTGCGCTCGCTTGGCCGCCACGCGACAGGTGCGCGCGAGCTGTGCGCGTGTGGCTTGGACAGCACACTACGAAAGACAAGCACGACCGGCCATTGAGGTCGCTCACTCGCACGCGCATCGTCGGCCGCTTGCCGCGGAGCTGCGGCAGGCCATAGCTCTGTAACTGCCGATACAACGGCCGCAAC